GGCAGCATAGTATTCCATTGTGTGAATACACCACAGCTTCTCTATCCATTCGTTTGTTGATGGGCACTTAGGTTGTTTCCAACTCCTTGCTTTTGTGAACAAAGCCACAATAAACATGGGTGTGCATATAACTGCTTGGATGTCAGTTATGGTCTCTTTGGGGTATATTCCCAGTAGTGGAAATGCTGGGTCAAATGGTATCTCTCTATGTAACTTTTTGAGAAAGCGCCATACCGCCTTCCACAGTGGTTGCACCATTTCACTGAGCTTCTTGAATGTAATTTCCTCATTCTTTGTGATACCTGAGAAGGTTGCTTCTTGAATGTAATTTCCTCATTCGTTGTGATACCTGAGAAGGTTTTTTTGTGGAATCTCTTTCACAGTTTTCTCCGTGCTTGCCCTCTGTGTGTTCTGGGATTCCAATCATACATATGTTGCTCCTTTTGATGTTATCCCACATGATTCCATTATTTTCTTCATTTTCCTTTCATCTCCTCTCTGTTTGTCCCCTCCGCCCCAGTGTGTTCCCATTGATGCTTATCTTCTAGCTTTCTGTTATGCTTCTTTGTCCCTCCAGCATGTTGGAAGCTGCTGCCATTTCAGCATGGTATCATGGACAGTGTTTTCACATTTCTCTTAATGCTACTTCTGTGTTGGCTGTACCCTCTCTCTCTTGTTTGATTTTTTTTAATTTCTTCTACCTTTTGATCTATAATATCAATTCTTTCTTCTGTCTTTTGCAATTTCTTCAGTAGTTGTTCATGTTTCTCTACATTGATGTATTCCTCTGGCTCTGGCTTTGGTACGGTAGTTTTATTTATGATCTTCATTATATTTTCCATCATTTGTCCCTTCTTCTGTAGCTGTTCGTAGAACTCAACACTGATATATATCTTCTGCCTTCCTATCTCTGCCATATTTATTGGACCTGCAATATGTTCTGTTTTTGTGGGAGAAAGCTTGTTTCGGCTGTCCACTGTTTGGGTTTTTTTGGTTATATGTTAGGTTGCTTCTGTTGTGCCTGTGTAGGCTGGTCATAATGATGTAATTTTATGAGGCTACTGACTAAGTTGCAGGCTTAAAATTCTTCTGTTTATAGGGATGGGCAACCCACAATACGGCAAGTTTTACTGGTCTTATGCAGCAGTAAAGTTTACTTTTTTTTTTTTACTTTTTAATTGGTTTGCTTACAAAGTTTGTATACATTTTGTATAACAGCTCTTGTGGCATAGTCTGTAGGCAGTTGTGTTGCTATCCTAAAAGTGGTGCATGTCTCTTGGTTTGAATCCACCAGCAGCTCTGTGGCAATCTCCTCCCATGTGAATTACAGCCTCTGAAAACCCATTGGAGGATCAGCTTTAAATCAGTTCCAACTCAATGGCAATGATTTTTTTTGTTTGTTTTTTTAGTTTGTCAATACTGAGAGGGGTTATTTGGTATTATATTCAAAGATGACCCCCAGCCTAATGAACTACATTCCTTGTATTTATAGTATGGTATCGTTCCTCTTCATTGAAAGAGACTTGAGCTTTCACAATCAATCAGTTCTGACTTATGAAAAGCAGTGGGAGTATGATAGCATGACTTCCAGAAATTAGGTCAGAAGATACCTTAGTATGTGTGGTAATTAACTGTGCTTAGTAATTTGTACCACTTAGGAATGACTTTATAATTCATATTAAAGACAAAACAGTAATTTCTCCAATATATCATGATCTCTTATAAGTCAATAATAAAAAAAAACCAAAAGAATATTTTTTTAAATGGGCAGAAGAAAATCCCAAGCCCTCACAAGCAAGCAAATTTAAATGGCTTATAAACATATGAAAAGATTCCTAACTTTAATCATAATAAAAGATACAGATGAAAAGATACCCTTCTAACCATATAGTAGTAACATTTGTTTTAAAGTTGACAATGCATCACACTGTTGAGTTTATGGGGGACATGATGTTGCTGTGGGAGTAATATATTGCTGTGGGGAGTGTACACATAGAAAATAGGGAGAACAATCTGACATTACTATCAGAAACAGCCTAGTTATATGTGCTTTTCGTCACTGAGTTTGTTCCTAGGAATTTACTTTACAGGTATTTGCAAATGTGCAAACCAGTCTAGACAGAAGGATTTTACTGTAGATCTAGCCATAATTTAGGGAGCTCTGGGGCTTGGGATGGGCTCTATGAGGAGAATTGTGGCATCAGGATTGGTGGAAGGTCTATTAACAATCTCCGTTATGCAAATGACACAACCCTGCTTGCTGAAACTGAGGAGGACCTCATGCACTTGCTG